ATATCTTTCCCATTCCCTTTAAGCACCCTGTCGAGACCCTGATGGATTCGACACCCCTAAACCTCATCCAACCCTACTATTCTTTTTCCCTTTTATATATATCTTTCACTCTTTTACATTTACACTACACGTGTATACCTTAACTTCATAGTATTTTTAGTATACGTATATTCTAGCTTATATATGTGTGTGTTATAATACGGTTTATACCACCACCACCACCTCGTCTTTTGTGGTTGTGACTTTATTTCATCGAGAGTACTGGACGACATCGATTGGCCTCGCTTTTTCTTTTCTTCTCTTTTTTTTTTTCGTTTTCTTCCCTATCTCTTGCTCACTCATATTATTATTTTTCTTTTCTTTTTTTTTGTGATCTATAATAATAAAACACACATACTTGACGTAATTGATAAATGAAATCAATGGACACGTTGACGTGTCCTCGTTTGACGTAAGCATTTTTTTTTTTTGTTCTCGGAACTTAATAATATACTCAACCTCGAAATTTGAGATTACGATCGTTACTCTATTATACTTGATACAATTTATATACGACCAACTGTCGAATATAACACGTGTGAATTGTATGTATGTGCGTTAATATATATATATATATAAAAATATATATGTGTGTGTTTGAAGGTAGAAATACACAAGTGCATTATTTTATCGGTCAAGCTGTTATTAACGTAGTTCTTCAGATAATCGACGAACTTCTAATATAATCTAATCGATCTAATAAGTTTCTTTTTTCTTTAACAAAAAGAGAGAGAGAGAGAGAGAGAGAACGTGTAATATAAGATAAAATGAATAAAAATGATGAAGAGATTAAATAAATAACGACCTTTACGAGATTTCTTCCTACGTATAAGAAAGCTTTAATAGAAGGGGAAAAGGAGGAGGAGGAGGAGGAGGAGGAGGAAGGGGTAGAGAAGGAAGAGGAGGAGGAGGAGGAAGAGGTGCTCGATGTGATAACAATGCTAGGTCAACTGTTACCGGAATAAAGGACACCGACACCGTATATGCATTTTCTACCTTCGCGTGCATGTTGTGTCACACATGCATGCCGTGTATATAAGTTTGTGTACGTACCTCTTTCTCTGTGTATGTGTGTGTGTATTCATGTGTCGTAAGAAGGAAAAAAAAATGATGGCGCACAGTATTACGATAACATCGGACAAGGTCGATGATTTTCCGACTCATTTAACGCCATGTTGTTGATTATCTATTATTACTATTAATACAAAGAGACGATGACGATGACGAATATAATCAACATAATTAATAAATTTGTAATATCTCATTTTCGGAGTTAATAATAAAATTGTGTTTTTTTTTCGAAGTGGGTGGGTGGGGAGGTGGTAATTATAATTTGAAAGCTAATTAAATGAGATAAATCGAACGATGATTTTGTTCATTCTTAACGGTTAACGTATTATATCAATAAAGAGATTAACTTTGAAACGCGTAAATCTTTATTACGAGTCGGGGATCGTAAACCGTCGCAATGAATACACACACACACACATACGTACATTCACATAAATATGGAGGCAGCTATATAAAAAGTATGATTGTGGGAAGTTCAAAAGTATTTCGAATATGGCATAGCTACTGTGTTTTTCTTATATTCGCATATTTATACATGTATTGTATATATATGTACATTTATACACGGTTTTGTTTGAAATCTTTTATTAGCATTTTGTTGGTTGGTTGTTTGAAAAAAAGATCGCGAAATAAATAATAAAATAAATCATACGATATCTATATCAAGTTATAACACAGCTGAGAAAAGATTTTCGAATTGAAATTTGTTTATATCTCGCGCACTTGGATGTGGTTTTGTTGCTACTATTGCTGAATTTTAATGAGATAAGTTTATCGACCAATAATAATTCTCGATAGAGATCGAACGACATATTTATACAAATGTAACGATACGATTGGCTTTAAAAAAGAAGTTCACTTAAATTGAAACTTAACTGAACGAGATTTCGATTGGTTCAAATTTATATGTATAGGAATATCGATTAGGTTTACAAATATATATATATATCGTGGTGATAGTAATTTAGGCTCAACGATATTTTTTAATTTCTTTTTTTCTTAAATTAACGAAGGTCGAAGTTATATCTTTAAAAATGTATTTGGTTGTTACGCAAGATCCGTTATTTATTATCGGCACAGTAGTGGTAAGATGACAATGGAAGATAATACAAAACTTCAATAGCAACTCGATCGAGCTAAGTAATAAACGTTGTCATAGTTGTTTGCCTAGTTGTATATCGGAGCTGTAAAAGGTCGTATGTGATGATTTTTATTCAGTTGACAAAACCTATTTATGTGTACACCTCTAACTCTACTGCTTAACAATTTCTTTTGTAAATTATTTTCTAAAGTCCATTAGCAACAATGTCAAGGCCATCGAATGGTGATCGATCGAAAAGAAAAGAAAAGAATAAAAGATTACAATTCGAACGATTTTGTTTGTAAAAGTAGTTCATCGTTCATTTATAGTCTCTTGGTGAATCACTGCTGTTTTAAACGATAGTAGTACTTTCCTATGTGTCAACAGGAAGTAAATACGAGTAATATGATTCTTGAAGTATAATGCTATATTCGACAAGAGAGGAGGAAGTTATCACACAACAAGGAAAATTTTCTCTATTCCAACAATATTTTCTGATAAAGTTAGAGATTAGAAAATCGATAAGAGAACAGATTAGAATACAAGCTGGGGAAAAACGTATAATTGTGAATTGAAAATAAAAAAAAAAAAAAAAAAATATTCAAACATAAATAATTTGTTGTCCTTAACTAAATTGAATATCTAAAATTAATTCAATCTTATTATGGGGTTCTGAATATTTTTCCTATCACACGTTAATGGAACGTGCAATCGCGTTATTCGATCGGTAAGGAACGTTGACCAATGGAAGGGCTACCTCCTACCTAGTCACAGATCGAAAGAAATTCTAATCGCTAAGTCTTGTCACGAAGTGGCCGTATATACAAGAAGCTAGCTAGCTAGCTAGGTTCCTTGCAAGCTAGCAAGCAACCTAGCCATTTTGTTACGGCCAGGCTGGGATGTAGAAAAGAACACGATTACCTCGATCGATTTCTCGAACTTTTGAATTTCAAATGTTCCCGCGCCCTTCCTTCAAACTGGAATACAACTAGAATAATCTTTCGCAAATTACCATACGTTTTTTTTTTAACACGTATTACAAATATTAAAAAACAAAAAACATATATCTCTTATAGATATATAAAACTTATTTTAAAATTAGGAAAAATAAAGACAATAGCAAATCCATATCTAAAAAATTCGATTCAAACGAATTGAGAATTAATTTGTAATAAAATAATGTTTAAAAAAAGATAGAGAAGGATAATCGAATAAAATAGATATTTTTGAAGGTAGTATATATTATTTATATAGAAAATAAACGGAAGAACGCGGTTTTCATCTTTCAAATTCCAACGGAATAGTATTCAGGGTCAAATGCGTTCGCATGAAAGCAAATCGTCGAACCATGACGGAGCCCGCATCCGTTAAAAGGCTCGGACTCGACATAAAAAGGTGTATTAACCTTGCATTCGGTTTCTTTGGATAGACATGACGACGATGACCATCACACACAACCACCACCACCATCAATAATCACATTGACTTGACCAAGAACTTTGTTCCGAGTTATGAGCATAAGAAAACAAGAGAGAGAAAGAAAGAAAGATAAAGATAGATAGATAAGATAGATAGAGAGGGGACGATGAAACGATAATGCAAAAAAGACGATGAAGAAAATATGGGTGTGGGGGTGGGGCGAGGGGGGTAGGAGGAAGAAGAGGAGAACAATGGTTGCTGCGTTAACCCGATCACCGAAAATTGAGCTCCCGTTTCCCTCCACCACTCCTCCCTCATACCCCTCACCCAACATGTTCATTTCAGTCGAGAGCTAGTGCACATACATTTACATATACACGTATATATACATATACCAGAGGAACACGCATGGCAAGCACATACAAGAGAGGGTGGCCGAGGGGGATGGAAGAGGTGTATATATATTCGTAGCAGGGCCGGTCGTTGACCGCCTATCGAACCACCGCTAATCTCTTGACGGAACCATTACTATGTCATTGTACGATTCCCATTATCATTCGAAGGATAACATTGTAGATATTTTGTTATCCAAATGCCGAGAAAAGAAAATCTCATTTTTGCAATATCGCGATCACACGTTATAATAAAAGGAATAATAAATGAAATTGTTCATTTTTAGGCACTAGACATGTTTTCTTTTTTTTCCTTCTTCTTCTTTTTCTTTTTTTTTTCTCCCGGTCGTTTAACGTTCTTGCAAAGATAATATCACAACACTTATAGATGATTTGAAAATAGCAGCGTACCACCACCGGCGTGTGTGTGTGTGTGTATATGTGTGTGTATGTATCTTATAGGGTCCAACTAGGGTCTCGCGTTTAAAAATTTTCGTGCAAACCTAATCGATGGAAACAAAATTACTTGATGCATTATTGAACGAATAAATAATACGATGTATATTAAAAAAAAAAAGAAAAACGAACAAGAAAAATAATTAAAAACACTTATGAAATATATTAAAAAAAAAAAAAAAAACAAAAAAAAAAACAAAAAAAAGAAAAGTTTTGATTGGGCATTATAAAAGGCGTGACGTGTGAGTTTTTAGTCTAGAAGGAGAAGAGGGTAGATGAAGGATATGGGAGAGACGAAGGAGGAGAGGAGTTTAGTGGGGTTGGACGGGATAGGGGAAAAGCGGAGAAGAAGGGGGGTCAACAGGCCCTGCCCTCGCAGAACAGACGAAGGCCAACCAACGTAGAAGAGGAGACGGAAGCAGCAGCAGCAGCAACCTAGGTTGCCTGGTTGGTTTCGTTTGTTGCTTCAATGGTTGAACAATTACTCTATTGCTATTAAAAAATAATGATTATTAAAATATATAATGATTAAATATGCGTACCGCGCGAGTGCCATCCTGGCAAAAGATGATTCGGGTCCTCTTGAAGAAAAAATACTATCCTGAGTACCAAAGACCACAAATATTACTTTCTTTTTTTCACTTTCTTCCACTGGACACATGCGCGCAAAATAATACTATTCCTTATGGAACACGGCTTTGTTTTCTTCTCATAATAAACTTCTTCGTTTTGATTAAAAAAAAAAAATAATAATAATAATAATAATAATACAAGAAAAATCGATGTGTGACGGTGATTAATAATAATTTAAAAAAAAAAAAAAATGAAATAAAAAAGGATTAGCGGCTGTTCTCCTTCTACTACTAGTTTATATTATATATGTATATATATATATATATATATTTTTTTTTCTCTCTTTCTCCTTCCTTTTCCTTTTAAGGGACGAGGACGACCAGTGGATTTCTCCTTCCTTTTCTTTTCCTCTCTCTTCTAACTCGCGCACGCACGCACGCACGCACGCACACACGTTCGACTTTTAATAAATCGCCTTGGGATGGTGGTCGTCGGTCTACGGTCGGTCGACGAGTGTGTACTTTTATCTTTCCACTTCCTTTTTCTTCTTCAATTCTTTTTCTTCCGTCAACGCCCCTCTTTCTTTCCTTCCTTCCTTCCTTTCTTCTATACTTCGTACGCGCACTTATTACCACAGTAATTTCACTACAAGTGTCTTTCTTAGGGGTGTGTGTATATATATATATATATATATATATATTTATATGTATGCGTACACACACTCAAGTATTAATTCTGTTAGCTAATGCGAAAAGAAAAAAAAAAATGAAAGGATGAATCTTTCGTGACACAGGTTCGTTCATCCAACTACATATTCCGTGTAGAGGCAACGAGAAAAACGAGGACGAACTGCGAGATGATATTCCAAAAGAGAGAGAGATCTTTACTCTACCATGGACAACAGGAGAATAAAGGAGAAGCTTTTGGAAGGACGATGTTATAGAATTTCACTAGAAGGGAAAAGAAGTATTTCAAAGGTAAAGAAGAAGGGATATAGGGGGGAGAGGAGGGTAAGAAAGGGACAACATCCAATAGTAAGGGAAAGAAGAAAGGTGGAGAGGGAGATAGAGAAAATAAGGAAAAGAGTAGCGAGGGGAGGAGGAGGAGAGGAGAGGAGAGGAAAAGAAGAGAAGAAGAAGAAGAAGAAGAAGACGCACAGCTGCGATTGTGAACCTTACTCCGGCAGCTGGCCACCATCGACTGGTACTACCTCGTGTACGCGTTATTAAAGAGCGGCTGTTCTCTCTCTCTCTCTTTCTCTTTCTGTATATATATATGTGTGTCTGTGTACTCTGCCTTTTGAGACACAACCTGTGTGTGAGAGAGTTTCTAGTCTCCCCTCCCCACCGACAGAGAGACGGTGCCCGCCACTCACCACCCTAACCGATTCCAACCACGACGCTGGCTCGACTGAACCGAGAAACTGAGCTTGCTCTTTGCCCCACCAACAAGCTTACCACTCGGTCGTTTACGTTATCACTCGGATACCTTCGACGGTACTCGCCTAGACGTTCGGCTAATTTCGCTTCGACCTCGTGTACTTCGCCATTCTCGAACACAGCTCGCGCAACGAACGTTGACGAAGACGGGTGAAGCCAAGGTTCCTCCTCCGTTCTGCGTCGACGCCGTGTTGCTGCTGCTGCTGCTGCTGCTGCCACTTTGCTCTGTTCTACTATACTCTGCTCTGCTTTGATTTGCTCTGTGTCTTATGTCTATACGAATAAATTGTCCTCTTCTCTTCTCTTCTCTTCTCTTCCTTCTTCCTTTATCCTCTCCAATATCATCATTATTATTATCATTATTATCATCGTCATGTTCCTTGATCTTTATTAAAAACTAACCGTCTTGACAAAATACGATGCCTCTTTTTATCCTAACCTTGTTTTGTGCTTATATTACTCTGACGTCTTATTCTAATAGATCCAATTATGTAACGTAAACTAATCCAACTTTTTTTTCTATCTCCCTTTTGAAAAAAAAAAAAAATATCACTCAAGAGAGTATACACGACACGCTCGGTCTTATTTTTCTTTTTTTCGTTTTTAATTATTTTTTCCTTGAGCAAGCAAGCAAGCAAGTCAAGCAAGCTGCTGAGCAAACCCTTGCAAGAGGTAAAGGAGGAGGAGGAGGAGGAGGAGGTAATACAATATACACACACGCGCGCATCTGTCCTCTTGGAGGGTTTTTTTTTTCTCTCTTCGATGAATTTAGAACGGGTCTCTTCTCTTCCTACGTGCACAGTCGCACCCATTGTGCTCAGCCCGAATCAATGTCACCCATTTTATCGACGGTTTTATATGCGATAGGAGATATTGGATTTCATCCTCAACGGCAATAGGTTATTCCTTTTTGCTTATTCTGCGACAAGGTTAACTCGATGTTTCATAAAAATTGATGTTTGAAATAATATCGTCGATGAAAGAATTCTTTTTGAAATAACGGAACACACAAACGATGATTAGTTGATTTTGATTGGTCGATTATCATCAGTTGCATTCTGATTGACCAATCGTTCGTACGTTCGAAGGAGAATCACCGTTTGTTTTTTTTTTCTTTTCTTCTTCATTAAAGTCTCCGGTCATAGCAAAAGATTTCAATAATTAGGAACGTGATATTTACAAGATCCTTTCACGAATGGCAGAGTTAACTGTTTTACAGGGCAAGCGTGAAAGGTCCTTCGATAATCATCGATGATGGGTTACGAGTCACCGGAACTGGAGAATAAACCGATGTTACTACTGTCTCTCTGGTGTGCTGCTGTATCGTCGTCGAATTATAAAAGAAAAAGGGGTCATGAAAATGTTTTATGGGTGTTTAAGGTAGTACTTGGGGGTCGGCGTCAATGGGACCGTGACGTCGTGCCGGAATCACGCACGGTGCTCGTGACATTGTGGGAATAATGTATGTGTGTGTGTGTTGGACGTTCGAAAAAGAAAGGAATACAATTTTCGGTAAATTTCTATTGTATTAAAAAGTCCGCCTTCTTATTTGTGAAAAAACGCGACGAACAAATAAATGTGAAAGAAAAAAAAGTAAGAAGGAACGAAAGATAAAAGAAAGCAGCGTTCTTTTGCATCTTTGTAACTTTAAAACGCAAGAAAAGAGAACAGAAATGGTAAAAAGAAAAAAAAGGAAAAAAAATGCGGATACGTTTGCGTTTTCGAAATAATTTTGAAATTTTCGATAAAAAGTTAAACAGAGAGAGAGAGAGAGAGAGAGAGAGAGAGAGAGAGAGAGAAAGAGGTGAGTTAAACAAGACGGCTGATGTTACTCTTGTGTTGGCCCTCGGGGCGGAGGGTCCCCTTGACCCCCTTTAAAAAAACCGTCCCTGAGTCTCCTCCAGCCGAAAGCACAAGCTGGTTAAAATGTAAACTCTATTTTGCTTTCTCTTTTTCTTCCTTTTCTTTTTCGATATCCTCTTCTCCTCCTTTGTATCTCCACTTCCTTTTTGTTCTTATCTTTCTCTAACCACGTATACATATACTCTCGTTGTATATATGTGGTGTCCTATATTATAAGCCATAGAGACACATACGATAGAATAATAAAACGTTGAAAATAGGAAATAGAAACGATAAAGGCGTTCATTTATTAAATTTGTCAACAAATATGTTTATTAAAACCAAATTAATAATCGACCTATCGTTAATATATTTTTGTGTTTGTTACAAGATAATAAATAAATTCACATAAATCTCACAGGGAATTTTGGACGGTTATTAAATCTTTATGAAAGATTTATTTCGAACCAGTTGTACGCGTTTCGTCCCTTTCTTGGGACTTTATCAGCAACTCGATCGTTACAGTTCACGAGTCAATATACATATTATCTTTTTTTCAGAGTCATACATTTCAACTATACTTAACATTTTACGATACAATTTCTTCCTAAACACCTTTATATTATCACACGTAATTAATTACAAATAAAAATTCCCTGTGAGACTTATGTGAATATTATAATTCTGGACAAGAGTATCGATAAATTAAATAATAAATAAATGTTTGTATTGAGTACATTTTCTATGGACATCGAATATTTGAGAATACCCTCTGTGTAAAATGGTTGGAACCCTTCTTTTCTTGTAATGTCTACAACTACAACTACAACTACGATTACAACTACAACTATACGACAAAGAGACGTAGACGGCGACACGGACGAGAAGAGAAAATCGTGAAGGGAGGTAAAGTTAAGGGAGAAAATAAGGACAATGGGGAAGGGAAATATGCCCTCCGACGAAAAACAACGAGCTTAGGAGGTGCGTGTCGCAAAAGTCGACTACTTGGTATTTGTTAAAATAAGGGGGCACGTAGTACGGGAGACCTTTAACAGAAGAGAAGGAATTCATCCGCGAGAGTTCTAACAGCATAAAATCAGTTCTTGTACTCTCGCTTTAAGAGAATTATCGTATGAGAAAGAAAGAAAGAAAAAGAAAGAAAGAAAGAGAGAGAGAGAAAGCAAGCAACACAGACAACGTAGTTGAAAACGACACACAACGAAGACGAACGTATACAAGAATATATCGTGATGGTTTTGTAATCGAAATTTCTCTTCGTTTCAAATACACGTAAGTACTTACTATCTATCTATCTACCTACCTACCAACTTAACTATCTACCTACTCAATTCGTCCTTCTATGAAAGGTACGTGCTAATTAAAAGAACAAACCACCGAATGAAAGTAGCAGTTTGTAGAAATAAAAGTATTGAGGGTTGCCCCCAGAAAATGTTTGTATCGATTTTATAGACAATTTATTTTACATTCAATATATATATATATAAATCGTTTCTAGAAATGGTAAAACAAATTCATTTGTTCGTCTAACAAATCTTTGAATTCGTTTATTCGTCGATTATATTTCGTTACGAAATTATTTATAAAAGCAAATAAAACAAAAACATAGAAAACAAACAACGATTAACGATAATTATATCGTATAAAAATAATATATATTAATTTCAAATATATGTGTGTATGTTAAATTATAAACCGATTAAAAAACTTTTTCTTCCAAGCAACCCCAACCCCCATAAACAGAATAATAGTAGTGCTCGTAAATACATCGATTTCATTCCTTCTTCTCGAGTTTCACGAGTCAGAAATGGAACTTTTTTTTTCCTTAGACTTCCCTCCCTACTTCAGCT